CCCAGACAAAAACAAACAAGCCAAGAGGTGGTGACAGGACTGGACGCAGGACTTCGTGTCTGATGGAGTCTCCCGGGGGCAGTGATCTGGGGATAGAGGGGCCAGGGTTCCTGAGTTAATGGGGGGGGGGGGGGGGGGGGGCAGGTGTCAGGGACAAGCTGCCAGATGGTGGTGCTCGCATGCTGGAGGATTGAAGGACCAAGGTTCAATCTTATTTCAGCTTCATCACCCCTTCCAGCCCCAGGGTTCCTTTCCTCCTTCCGGGGGCTCAGCCATGAAGAAAACGGTGTTAGAGTTTTTGTTTTGCTCGTTTATTTACTTACTTATTTATCTGGCTTTTCAAGACAGTTTCTCTGTGGAGCCCTGGCTGTCCTGGAACTCACTCTGTAGACCAGGCTGGCCTCAAGTTCACAGAGCTCCGCCTGCCTCTGCCTCCGGAGTGCTGGGATTAAAGGCGTCTGCCACCACTATCCTGCTTATTTATGTTTTTAAAATGCAGTTATTTTTAATGATGTATTTCTGCTCCGGTGATGGATTTCCCTGGAGCTGGAGATGCAGGCAGTTGTGAGCTGCCTGATAGAGGTGCTGGGAACTGAAACTCGGTCCTCCGAAAGAGCAGAGCCCACTCTTAGCTGTTGAACTATCTCTCCCAAACCGCGCTTGGACCAGCAAGACAGTTCAGCAGGAATCACGTGCAGACCTGCTGACTTGAGTTCCATCCCCAGGACCTACTCGGTGGAGGGAGAGAAGATACTCCCAGAAGTTGTCCTCATCTGCCTACACATGCTGTGGCCCACGCCACACACCGCCGCAAAGTAAATACAGGCAGGTCTCATGTAGCCAGGCTGACCTGGACCTCCGCATGTCGCTGAGGATGACCTTAAATTCCTGATCCTCCTGCGTCCACTTCCTGCGTGCCCTGACTGCAGACATTTGTCACCACCCAGTTTCTAAAGTGCTGAGGCTCCAATCCGGGACTTCAAGACAGTCAGGCACTCAACCAGGTCCACACGCCCAGCTCTCTCTCCATCCTCATTCTGAGACAGGATCTTATGCTCTGCTGATAGCTGCATCAGATCCAGTCACGCCAGGGACAGAGAGGAGCTGGGGAAGTAAGCTGGACTCACCTGGCCCCTGGGTCTTGGGCACACCGGGAGCTAGATGGAGGGTGCGGTTCCTTTCAGCAGAGAGTCATCATGACTCGACCCCTCCGCCCCAAGACCCTGAGGTCTTCTAGCAACATGAAGGGCTTCTCTACTTACTCTGTGGTCCCTCCCTGGCCTGGAGCCTGGAGGACACATCCCACAGGACTGACGCCATTTTTGGCAACAAAAGAAGTGGAGCTCCAAGTCTGGGCAGGGTGAGTGGTGCCCCGAAGGGAGAGATTCGGAAATGTTTCATTGGGCCAGTGAGACAGTTCTGTGTATAAAGGGGCTTGCTGTCAGACCTCATGACCTGAGTTCCATCCCCAGGGCCCATGAGGTAGAAGGAGAAAACCGACTCCTGTAGGTTGCCTTCTAACCCCTGCAACTGCGTGCACACACACACACTTAAGAAGAAAAAAAAAAAAGGAAACAAAACCAAACCAAGCTGAGCAGTGATGGTGCACACCTTTAATCCAGCACTCAGGAGGCAGAGGCAGGAGGATCTCTGTGAATTTGAGGACAGCCTGGTCTACAGAGTGAGTCCAGTACAGTCAAGGCTACACAGAGAAACCCTGCCTTGAATAAACAAAAATCAAAAACAACAACAACCAAGTGGGAGGTGATCTTTGGCTACATAGGCAGTTTGAGGCAAGACTGAACTACGTGAGGCCCTGTCTCAAACATACTCGCACACTCATGCCACAGACATTTCTGGAGCATTGTTCTAGGCCTTCAGGACACAGCCACAAATGAGAAAAACACCTCTGTCCCTGCAGAACTGACATACATGGGGAAATAAAGAGACACAATCTCGGAGTGCTGGGGTGAGGTGGGGCCGACCTGCAGTTCCCAAGGAAGGAAATGGATGTTCCGAGTTCCTTTCAAGTAAAGGAGAGTTGGCTAGAGAAAGGAGGGCGGCTGCAAAGCCCCCTGGGAGACTGGAATAACAGACCAGAAGCCAGAGTGGAAAGGCTCCAGAGGAAGAGGAGCTGTGGTGGGCAGGGCTTGCTGCCGTATTGGAAGAGCAAGGTGAGGTAAGTGGCCTGTATCCAAAACTGGGGCCTGTGGTGGTCCCACCGCTGTCCACCCCCGTATGTATGGTTGTTTCTCATAGAACTGCCAAGCTGCAATTTTCTGAAATTGATGTAACCCTAAATAAAACCCCCTCTCCCTGAGCTCAGGGTCCTGCACTCAAGAACCGCTGCGTCGGTGATGGTGTGGGCCCAAGCTTGTAATAAAAAGACCCTACTGAGTTTACACTGGAATCGTCTCCTTGGTGGTCTTTGGTGTCCCTGAGACTTGGGCATAACAACACCCCCCCCCCCGCACACCCCAACTCCCTGTATGGCCTCAGAGGAGAGCAGACTTGCACATTTAATCCCTGTGAAAATACTAAGTTGTGCTTGTGTTGTGGCTGACAGGAAGCAGTGTCCCGAATGCTTCCCTGTGGGGTCGGGGATCTGAACTCGGCGGCCTTTATGACACCTGTCTTTTCCCACTGAGCATCTCCCTGGCCCAGATTTAGAAACCCTATACACACAGAACCCAAACCCTGGGCTGCTGGGTGGTGATGGCACATACCTTCACCCAGCGCTCAGGAGGCAGAGGTAGGCAGGTCTCTGAGTTCCAGGCCAGCCTGCTCTACAGACTTAGTTCCAGGAAACCAAGGCTACACTTGGGAGGCAGAGGCAGGAGGATGTCTGTGAGTTCTAGACCAGCCTGGTCTACAGAGTGAGTTCCAGGCAGTGCTACATAAATAAATAAATAAATAGATAGATAGATAGATAGATAGATAAAATAAAATAAAATAAAATAAAATAAAATAAAATAAAATAAAATAAAATAATGGGACTGGAGAGATGGCTCAGTGGTTAAGAGCACTGGCTGCCCTTGCAGAGGACCAGGGTTCAGTTCCGGCACCCATATGATGGCTTAACCACTGTCTGGAACTCCAGGTCTCGGGGATCCAACACCCTCTTCTGACCTCCCTGGCACCAGACGTGCACACACACACACACACACACACACACACACACACACACACACACACATATACAGGCAAAAACATCATATAATAAAATAAAGAAATAAATATTTGTTTGTTTGTTTGTTTGTTTGTTTGAGACAGGGTCTCTCTATGTAGCCCTGACTGTCCCGGAACTTGCTGAGTTGACCAGGCTGGCCTCACAGAGATTTGCCTGCTGAGTGCTGGGATTAGAGACCTGTGTCTGGAGGAAAACGAAATAAATCTTAAAATAATAATAAGGAGGGGTGGGGTGGAGGACATGACAAAAGCTAGGTACATTTGAATTGTTCTCCAAACTACAGCCACTTTTCTGGTAGTGGGAGCGCAGAAGGCTTTCTCTTCCTGGTGTGTCTGGGAGTGGACAGGAACATGTGGAGGGCAGGGAGGTTCACGCAGGGCAGAGGGCACAGCCCAGGCCAAGGTGCGCCCACCTGACTGGAGATGACCGCAGGCTGCCGCCCTGGCTGTGGCCCCTCCTTGTCCTCAAGGGAGCCAGCTGAGTGCCTCCTAATGTTTCCATTTGCCTTTGGCCATGGGTCCAGATCTGTTTTTAGCTTCCCTCCCCGGGCTTTCAGGCCCCCCTTCCTGCTGACTCTCTCCCGCTTGCCCTGGTAGAATAATGTTCCCGGATTTCCTGAGCTGTTTGTTTGAAGTCAGCTGGGTATTGATCTCAGCCAGCCTGTGCCCAGCTAGGACGCTGGCACGGCTGCCCTCCCGTTGGGGAGGGTCTCACAGCCTTCAGGGCTAGGTAGCAGGAGGGGCAAAAGCAACTCAGAGCTCACTTAAGGAACGGGAACTGGGCCAAGGGGCGTTGTTTGTCTCTGTACTCGGGAGGCTGAGGCAGGAGCATGGAGGGTTTAAGCCAGCCTGATGTCATACTAAGAGCCTGCCTCCAAAGGGAGAGGAAAGAGGAGGAGGGAGGAAAAGGAGGGGAGGAAGGGAAGAAGGCAGGGGTGGGGGGTGGGGGGAGAGGAGGAGGGCTGGAAGGATGGTTCAGCAGTTAAGAGCACTGGCTGCTCTTGCAGAGGGCTCTGATTCAGCTCCCAGCACCCGCAGGATAACTTGTAAGGGTAACTCCAGTTCCAGGAGATCCACCTTCTCCTCTGGTCTCTGTGGGTAGCACATTCACGGTGGACAGAAATGCATGTAAGGCAAACACTTATTCACATAAAATATATTAAAAAGAAAAAGGTCGGGAAGTGGTGGGGCACGCCTTTAAGCTCTTGGGAGGCAGAGGCAGGCGGATCTCTGAGTTCCAGGCCAGCCTGGACTACAGAGCGAGTTCCTTGACAGCCAGGGCTACATAGAGAAGCCCTGCCTCAAAAACCAAAGAACAACGAAAACAGAAGTGGAAAGGCATCCTAATATTGGCGCTGAGACCCAACCACCCACCTCAGACCTCACTCCGCACTGTCAGCCAGCCTTTGAGGCCTCTTAGGGGAGGGATCTTCAGAGGGCAGGGAGTCACTGCCTGCAGGATCTCCCCTGGGATCTTCAGGGGAGGTGGACTGTGGGCGCTTTTCCTCACACCTACATGTGCTTCTTCTGACGGCCAGCAGGAGGCGCTGGCAACTCTGCTGGCAACAGGCCACACTGCCAGGGAAGACTCAGCAGGGCAGACACTCCGACCTGGAATTTAAGCCTCGCAGAATCCTGTACTATACCCTCCTTCCTCTCACCAGAGTCCGGGCCCCAGAAGACCCCCTTTAGACCAAGATTCCAGGTTTTAGCCCCGCTCCCTCAGACCGGGGTAACCAGGCCCAAGCCTTCCTCCCGCAGACCCACACGTAGAGACTCCAGCCTCCTTCCTCAAACCCAGGACTCCAGGGTCAGCCCTCATCCCGCACAGCCTGGGCACAGCGGTTCCAGCTCCTGTCTGGGCCTGCGCTCACCCGCCCCAGCTCCCACTCTGCAGCCTCCTGGTCGTTTCTTGAGTCACCTGCAGTGGTCCTGACCTCCGTTGCTCTCTCTTGTGCCTGGCAGATACTCACAGCCTCGCAGCCTCTGATCTCACGGCGGCGGCGGAAGGGAGAAGTCTTGCTGTCCGGGAGTGCTAGGGACAAAGAAGAAAACACGTCACTCACCCTGTCATCTCCAGTGTCCCTTGACTTCAAAGGACCGTCAACAAAGTGATTAAAGGCAAGAGAGAGCCGGGCGGGCTCTGGAATGGGTGGTGGGGAGAGGTCGTGGCGGGCTGGTAGCAGGCTGGGATGGGGCTGGCGGAGCCTGAATTCAGGAGGGCCCACAGGCCAGAGCCTAGCCCTGCAGGGCTGCTAAGGCCTTTGCTGAAGGCTCCAAGGGACCCACCCCTCACCATACCGCTGATGATGGGATCTTCAGCTCTATTCTTTGAGGTCAAGGTCCAGGAAGGGAAAGCTATTGACTCCGCATAGCTGTTGCAAAGGAGCCCTTTCTAAAAGTCATTCTGTAGCTAGCTGCTCAGAGAGAAACGGAAGGGTGGGGAACCCAGGCTGAGAGGGGTACAGAGACACCAACACAGAGAGCCAGGGAGCGCCCTGCGTGGCCTGAGCAGACCTCTGTGCTTTCTGGAACCCTGTCTCCTCAGATGCTCAATGAGGCCCTCGGGAGATCCGGACCGGGCTTTTAGGGTAGAGATAGGGCCGTGGGGGCAGGCAGAGGGAAGACGGCAGCCCCCGCTGCCAGGCAGTCAGCCAGCGGGGCAGGGCTGCAGAGAAGATGCCCACAGGGCTCCCCCACCCCCCTGCTTCCTTGTCCCTCTCAGAGCAGATCTTGTGGAGGTCAGGGCTTGGTGGAGCTGCAGTTGCTCCAGGGAGGTAAACAGATGGGACGCTTGAGAGGAAGGTCCCCAACACCTGTGCCAAGTTCAAGGCCAGGGCCTCGATGGACAGGAAGCCTCAGGGGTCTCATCCCCAGCTCCACATAACTGGGTGTCCCAGCACAGGTGGGTGCTCCAGCACTGGTGGTGGGGCGGAGGCGGGGTGTGCGTGCAGGAGGCTCAGACATCCAAGGTCACCTCTGGTTACAGAGGAGCCAACCCAAACCAACAACAAAAGACAGCCCCTCACAGAGAACTGACAGCCACGATGAAGGCCAGTGCACCAGCCGTATCACCACTCGGCCTTATCCGTCCTGGCCTCAGGATCCTGCTGTGTAGCCCAGGGGCGCCGCCTCCCGACGGTGGGATTCCAGCCAAGCAAGTCTTCAGCCCTGGACAGGAGCCTCATTTTCTGGATCGTCCTCACGCAGGGATTCTAACATGTCCATGTTTGTTGCCGGCTATTTATTTTTAAAGATTCTTTTTGTACTTTTCTGTGTGCGTGTATGCGTGAGCGCATGTGTGCCTGATGCCCTTGGGGGTCAGAGGAAGGCGTTGAATGCCCTGACAGGTGAGGGTGAGGCTGCTGGTGGATGCTGGGACCGAACCTGGGTCCCCTGCAGGAACAGCAAATGCTCTTAATCACCGAGCTACCTCCTTAGCCCCAGAAATACGAGATTTAGCACCTGCAGCACGCCCGTCCCGTTGGGTTTTCAGATAAGCTGTGAATGGTGTGTGAAGTAGGCGGGGCTGGAGAGACAGCTCCACCGTGAAGAGCCTGCATCGCTCTCGAGAGGACCTGGGCGAGGCCCTCGGTGTTCACCTCCGATTCCAGCTCCAGGGGATCCCACACCGCTGGCCTCTGAGGCACAGGCACTGACAAGCACACCCCCGCACACAGACAGGCACAGATACACATCATTACATAAGAATAAGTGCTGGGGAGATGGCTCAGAGGTTAAGAGCACTGGCTGCTCTTCCACAGGACCCAGGTTCAATTCCCAGCACCCACATGACGGCTCCCAACATGTTTAACTCCAGGTCCAGGGATCCGATGCCCCCTTGTGGTTTCTGTGGACACTACAGGCAGACGGTGCACATACATGCAGGCAAACTCTTGTACACATAAAATACTTTTTTAATAAATATTTAAAATATATATTAAAGGTTATATGGAGCTGGGCAGTGATGGCACACACCTTTAGTCCCAGCACTCGGGGCAGAGGCAGGCAGATCTCTGTGAGTTCAAGGCCAACCTGGTCTATAGAGCCAGTTCCAGGACAGCCAGGACTATTGAGAGAAACCCTGTCTCAGACACACACACACACACACACACACACACACACACACACACACTTACACATTTCAAGATAAATTTGCTCTTCATATACATGAATATATATGATATACTTTGTAAATATATGAAGATACTTATATATTCATATATATATGAAGAGTAGGTGTATCTTAAACATAGAAAAGGATGTATTTAGGCTAAAAAAATGTTCATGCTGTCAAAAGCCTGTAATTGCTTCAAAAGCTGAGGCAGGAGGATTGGGAGCTCTAGGCTCAGCCCCATAGAAAGACCTTGTACCAAAAACTCAAGGAACAGGCATGGAGTACATCCTTTTAATACCAGCAGTTAGGAGGCAGAGGCAAGTGGATTTTGCGAGTTCAAGGCCAACGTAGTAGAGACTACGTAACAAGCTCCAGAAAAGCCAAGGCTACAAAGAGATCTTATCTTAAAAACCAAAACCAAAACCAAACCAAACAACAACAATAACCATTGGGGGAAACTCATAAGGACCGAGGGCTGCCTGGTTGGTAGCACTCTGTGTGGACATGCTTGCCATAGTACCATGTTGAGGTCAGAGGGCAACGGTTCTCTCCTTCCACCGTGTGGGTCCTGGGAACTGGACTCAGCTCACCAGGCTTGGCTGCAGTGCCTTTGGTTAGAATTGTTACTGCCTAGCCCCTTGCAGTATATTCAGTAAGGCTATTTTTCTTGTTAAAAAGTATGGTGGTGAGGCTGGAGAGATATCTCAGGGGTTGTCCTGAGTTCAATTCCCAGCAACTACATGGTGGCTCACAACCATCTATGAGATCTGCTGCCCTCTTCTGGTGTGCAGGCAGAACATTCTATACATAATAAATAATTAAATCTTAAAAATAAATAAAGTATGGTGACATGGTGGTGAAATGGGGATGTGGTTCATTGGTAGAGCCCCTGCCTAGAACCCCCCAGTGAGGGGCTGGGGTGTGGCTCCGTGGGAGAGCCCTGCCTAGAACCCCCCAGTGAGGGGCTGGGGGTGTGGCTCAGTGGGAGAGCCCCTGTCTAGAATCCCCCAGGGAGGGGCTGGGGTGTGGCTCAGTGGAAGATCACCTGCCTAGAATCCCCCAGTGAGGGGTTGGGGGGGGTTGTCTCAGTGGTACAGCTCCTGCCTAGAATTCCCCAGTGAGGGGTTGGGGGTGGCTCAGTGGAAGATCACCTGCCTAGAATCCCCCAGTGAGGGGCTGAGGTGTGGTTCATTGGTAGAGCCCCTGCCTAGAATTCCCCAGTGAGGG